GTAATGATAAATTCCTTTAAGCTCTCTGAGCTTAAGTTCCTTTGTATTAAATATGTAAAATAGGGATATACAAAGTAAGTTCAAAAATGAACTACTACTATTTTTAAACTCTCTTTTAGAGTAGATATATAATCAATGAAGCTCTTTATCAATAATGATATACAGAAGGTAGGTAAGCTTTGATGCTCAAATAAATATAGTGTTCTTATTCTCGTTGTTCCTCTTCTTCTTTAGGTTTCATAAATTATAGTTGAGAATTATAAATGATCCGTTAGACTCATAAATTTTTCTGTTGGAGATTTCTTGTGATCTATTTTCTTCTTGCTTTGAGTTTCCTTGAATATCCGAGCTTCTCTGAGGTTCTCCATTAGATAAGCCAATAAATAGTGCTTTACGACGGAGACTTCCTCTTTTATACAGTAATGGCTAAAAACATTAAATGCTTCTGACAAAAGTGGTTGAAGCTTACACGTTTTGATATAACAGAAAGCAAGCGCCGTGACCAAATCAAATATGAGCAACCATAACAACTTTAAGAAAATAATTGTGTTTAAATATCATTTGGTAAGATATAGAGTGAACACAATTGATTTTAAATGAAAAGAATGCTTAAAGGATGAGTTTTGATGATCTTTGAAAGAAATACAAAAATCAGAGCATAAAGATTCAAAGTAGTACCGATGTTACTATGTTTTAGCATCGGTGTTGTAGTGATGATCAGACATAGAAGGAAGCTCATAGTACAAGTGTTGTCCTTGTAGTACCGGTGTAATCCAATATGTAAAATATGAAGATTTTTTATATTTTTGGAAGAATTAGAATATTTCTTAAAGATTATTTAACATCGGTGTTAAAAGTAAATAATACCAAAGTAACATAACAGTCAAATCTCTTCATAGGATAGAAGAGAGGACAGTATCGGTGTTGAGGTGTTAGCACAAATGTTGTCAAATTTGAACAAAAACTTAGTACAGATGCTAACCAAGTAACACAAGTGTTGAAAAGATAGCACCAATATAAGGAAAAAGGTTCAAATAAGAGAGACTCAATTGTACATATTTAAAAGGGTAACACCGGTGTTAGAATGAGTAGGACTGTTGTTATATGAAACATGAATCAATAGAACAGTAAAGATAACAGAGGTAACACTGATGTTAAGGCTTCTAGTACCGGTGTTATCAACACTTAGAAATATTTTTGAATAAGAAACATAGTTAAGTCAAATACTTAATCTTGGTTTTAGTTAAAAAAGCTTGAAACGCACAAAACTTCTCTTTACTTTATAATCATTAAAACCAAGGTTCAACAATACTTTAATTATAATTATATTTGATAATTTATAAATGATTTTAGTTAATAATAAAAGCTTATATTGGTTTAATTAGACAATTATTGTGGCATACTTGATGATTTTGATTATTTGAAATAGATGATAAATATTTTTATTGTATTTTTGATGCAATTGACAATAAATTTGATATTTATGACAATAATATAGTTAAACAATGTCTAATTTTTTTTATTTTTCATACATAATATTTAAATTTTATTATTTTAATTGAAACAGGTCAAATCATGGTCTAACCATAGTTTGGTAAACTAGTACCCTCATCGGTTCAGTATTTGGTTCAATTTTGATAACATTGCTTCCTTCCCTATTCTGTACATGTTTATGTACATTTAAGGTTCTAGCAGGCAATGGAGTAGTGATGTAGAATTGTGTTCCTCTCGATGCCAATGGGCTCTACTACGTATATATCCCCTCCTCTCCACTAATTATATATAATTTCTTATTGACATGTTTAAACATGAATAGTCGGCCAAAAAAAAAGTTTAAACATAAATAAAATACATATGACTAAAGCTGTGAGAGAAGCTCAAGCGAAGTTATATATATATATATATATATATAACCATCCGGTATCTAAACCCAACAGCCCGACTAATCCAAATTTGAGCACCATAGAATTTCAAAGGAAGTGGCGTTACCATGCATATTTTCTTCATCCTCGTTGCCCCAGGAATTGAAACCAAAAATTAATAGTAAAGGGAACTCATACCCCTCAATTCTTTGGTAAGCCCAAGTGAAGTTGATGCATGAAAAGTGGTTTTGTGGCACATCTATCTAGATTGGGCCATATTAAGCCTGCTGCTGTGCGTCAGTAACTTAGCCACTGTCTGGTTCCTTATTTATCACAGAATGCATTATTTACGAGTTTATTAAATAAATCTTCAATTCAAAAAATAAAAGTAACAGTTAATAGTAATATTATACATATTATCATCAATATATATATACAAATCTTGTGAGAGGTCACTGATTGGTCAGAATCTCTTTAATTTATTGGTTAATTAACTTTGGTTAAATTTTAATTCTCTTCATTCATTGGTTCATTTTATTTGTCATGTATCAAATTATTAAATTTTAAATATAAAATTCAAGTTTTATGGGAGAAATAATTCCATCTATCTCAACTTTTTTATTTATCTCACGTCTCTTAATATTCATCAGTCTTTATTTTTAAGAATTTATATATCTAATTATTAAATTTTAAATATAAAATTCAAATTTTATGGGAGCAGTAACTTCATCCGTCTCATCTTTTCTATTTATCTCATGTCTTTTAATACTCTCATGTCTCTATCTTTAAGAATTCATGTATCTCATTATTAAATTTTAAATATCAAATTCAAGTTTTACGGGAACAGTAACTCCATCCGTCTCAACTTTTTCATTTATCTTGCATCTTTTAATATTCTTCAGTCTCTATTTTTAAGAATTCATGTATCTCATTATTAAATTTTAAATATAAATTTAAGTTTTACGAGAGTAGTAACTCCATTCATCTCAACTTTTTCATTTATCTCGCATCTCTCAATATTCTCCAGTTTTTGTCTTTAAGAATTTATGTATCTCATTGTTAAATTTTAAATATAAAAATTTAAGTTTTACGAGAACAGTAACTCCATTTGTCTTAACTTTTTCATAAAATGCCGATGGTATGGGCTTAAGTATATGAGGAAATTTGTTGTACTTCTTGGCAAGCATCTTTGTTATCACTTGTGTAGGACGATAGAAAATTATCTTATAATCCACTATCACAAAATAAAATAAAAATGTATCAATTTGTATAACTTTTTCGTATTGTTGATGAATATTTATCTATATTACTTAACTATATCTATATTATTACTTACAATGTTCTTATATCAAACCTTAACAATTTACAAATATTAATTCTCTCACTTTTAAGTTATTAGACATATAATTATATACAATTTTAATGACAAAACATTTGTGTTATAATTTTTCTAGCAATATGCTGTAAACATGAAATCAAAATAACAAATATAATTATGTTTTATATATTTCAAATATAATTAAAGTACATAATTCAAATTTTCTACATCATTTAAAAAAAAAAAGAAAGGATAACTATCTAAAAGTGTTCACGCCATAATCATGTATGATGGAATAGTTAAAAATTCAATCTTTTCAAACTATATTTATAATTTATTATGGGCTTGAAAAATAAAGACAGGATGTTTTTTAACAAAATATTCAAAAAAAATAATTAAATAAAAAAATTTTTAAAATTTTAATAATTTAAATGTGTCAATATAAATAATATTTAAAGTGTTTGTTTCAATTTTTTAAAATCAAATCCGTGCAGGGTGCACGGAAACAGCCTAGTTTTTCAGTTAAATTTTGACGCTGATAGGGCCGTACATGTGGATGACGTTGATCAATTGGTAAGCAATGCGTTTTTCTTAGTAATTTGTCGATTGCTTTATCGAAAAAGAATTAGAGTGGTGGCCTAACGGAGCAAGCATGGAATCTGAGTAATTTGTTCATGGGCATTTGTTATTAGTGAATTTAAGAATAATTACTTGTAAATTTTAAAAAAATTAGTTATAAATTATGAAAAATTAGTTGTAAGTGTACATTTAAAAATATGAGAGGGTTTTAATTATTAATTTACAATTAAAACTATTCATATTCATTTACAATTGTTATTTCATATATTTACAAGCAACATTTTTTAAATTCATAATTGATTGTCTTTAAATCATAAATCATGATGTATAAATTCTTGAAACTATTTATTTATTCATAACTTTTTTAGCCTAATATTTATTTATAATTAAATTTTTATAAATTCACCAGTATTTTCCTTAAATTTACAAGTAATTATGGTCATTTCAAGGTCCATAATAGTCATTTTTCCCTGTGCTTATTTCAATCAAAACATTTCAGTGACTGTGTGCACTCAACTTTTCAACTTTGATAATTCAAGATAAATTATAACAAAGGATTTAAAGCCCATAATACTCTTGGTAAGTATGGGGTCCTTCCGCGTCCCTTACAATCTTAAAATCTTGTGTGTTTAAAAAATCAATGGCACCACATCACAAAAGTTTTAAAAAGAGGAGAATGATAATAAAGTCTTAAAAAAAAGTTAAAAAACATTAATTCAAATAGTTAAAAATAATAATTTTAATTGAAAATTAATTTAGAGTTACATTCACAATTTAAATATGTTATTTTTAATTAGAACATTTGAATTTGTAATTATTTGAATAAATTTTTTGAACATTTTTTAAGATAAAAATTTATTAAGAATCTAATTATCATTAATTCTTACTTTAAGACTTAAATGTCATTCATTTTATTTAAAATAGAAAATTTTTATTAAACGACTAAAGATGTGATATTATTATAAATGAGGTCCAAATAACATGTAAAAGTAAATATTTTAACAAGTAAATATAAAGGATTAATAGGTAAAGTAAATATTTTAATAATTAACTATAAAAAATTAATATGTAAAGTAAATATTTTAACTTAAAAATATTATTGTAATAATTTTACCTTGTATTTTAATTTCAGTTTGGCCAAAACTCTTGGGTGAAGTTTTAAATTTATTTGGGTCTTACTTGTAATAATGTACCATCTCCCGTCCTTTGATAAAATTCTCTCTTAAAAACGTGTCAGCACAGTGAATGGCACATGGCAGTTGAGTGCAGCGCAAGGGCCCATTCGTATGGCCACACTCGCAGGCACCACCTTGCGCTGTTCATATTCTTCCTACTGTCCCATGCCTTTCTCTTGCCTTGCCATTTCCGCTGATTCCTGTATGTTTCGATCTATTCATTGGTTTTGGTTTTCCCCTTAGTCTCTTTTTCATTTCAATTACTCTCAGTATATTTTTGGGGAAGTATGATAAAAACCAACTTATTCCGTCCTCGGTTCCGTCAAATGTTGGGGTTCCAGGAGGGTTGTGTGTCCCGTTGGGTTTGCACTTCACATATTGCTTGGGATCGTTGATGAGGTTCAGTTGAATCTGATGAATCCTGAATCACCGTTGTTCCGATAGAACCTCAAATTCTTTACATCATTGGTATTATTGTATTTTTTTCGATTGCCTTCAATCAAATCTTTCTCTTAGCATGCCACATTTTAATATATATTTTGAAGAATTTCTTTGGTGTACGGTGTAGCAATTCCGTTTTTGACTTACTGCACAAATTCATGTTCAAATGGTTACAACCAGGAACCAAATTTTTGTTGATCATGTGATTGCTGCTACTGGATTAATGGCTTTGGCAACAGCTGTTACCTGTCCTTTGGAATATCATTAAAGTTGTCACAGTGGCTGACATTTTTTGTTATTGTGTAAACTTTTTGTTGTGGTCCATAATTTCAAAATTTGTTGAAACTAAAACTTACCTCTTCTTTATTCAAAGGTTGGTTCAAGTCCTGGAGTTTACTGATGCCCAAGTTTTACATAAGAGTGCAAACCTTGGTGGGGAATGCAAGTGTAGTGGTTTTGCATATGAGTATATTAGAAAAATATTGACGGATTACTTGTTCAATTTTCTGCTTTGGTCAGTGGGGACTTCTTTGTTTCTAAGGTGGATTATTGCGTTCCTGAATTATTTGATCTTTGTTAAGATACAAGGCAATGCTGAATTGTGGTGCATAGCGATTTAATTGGTTGTTTTGAAATTGTTTGTTTTCCCTGGCTCTCATGGGAATTTGGATTACATAATCAACATATTTTCTTCTGTGGACTCTTGATGCTTAACTAAGATATATGATTATTTTGGGCATTAGATGTCTGTACTGTGGATTTGGCTGGTTAGCATTTGGGAGGATTTAAGCTTTGGGGACATGATTTTGGGGTCAATGAATCTTTACAGCCTTTTATAATTGTATATTTTATCTTTTTTTCGTAAACTATGCCTTTTGTTTGAGAAAATATCAATTGAAAGAAATAAGCACCACCCTGTTTTATGAGTATGCCATGCCTTTATTATTTGTATATGTTTAACCATTCAAGCATTAAGTTGTTGCCTCTGTACTCATTCACACTTTGATTGGTCATTTCTTGTTCTTAATGTGGTAGCTTGAATTTTTCTATTCTAGCAATATCCACTGGGGGTTTCTAACTTTTATGAGTTTTTTTCCCCCTATGGAAAACAAAGGATATATTAAGTAAAAATTTTAATGTACAACAGAAGTATCAGATATTGAAGGAGAAAGACTATGCCTTGAAAAGTAAAGATTATCCAAGACTAAAACATCAAAGTGAGTAGAGTATTTCAACAGGGAGAATATTTTGCAGATAAAAACATTGCTTTGTGTGTTGTGAAGCGATTCTTTGGCTATCATTTGTTTCCAAAAGCAATGAAGTTTTAACTTTTGATTGTTAAGTCCATGATCGTCTTGGAAACAAAGCATCCACCATAACGCAAGTTTGAGACAAGCCAGGTAGAATTGATGAGTGTCCAAAGATTTCTTCCTTGCCCCAGTTTTAATCAGTACAGGGCTATCAAATTGGATAATGATTGAACAGGATAGGATTCTGTTAGTTTTTCCTTTTGGCATCCAGATATGATAATTTCCAGAAATTATTTGTTTTAATGGCTGAAAAGCATTCTTGAGTTTTCTAGTTGCAAACGCGTTCAAGATGATAGCAGGGGTTATGAAATTCATGAACAAAATTCTGAATTGCCTTGATGCACAATTGGAATCCTTTCGCAGCATATTAGATTGAGGAAGATGATGATACCTGTGATTAGGCCAAACTCATTTGATATGTATAATGATACCAAAGTGTTTAGTGGCCAGGTAACAATTCCAACTTGCTCAAAAGAAGTTGAGCGAATAGAACAACTCTCTTAGAGCACCACGTTTTGAATATCAAATTTGTGATATATTTGTCCTGGTTTCCACATCATAAAAAATTTGTTCAGTTATTTTTTGATCTAAGAAATGTTTGAAAAGTTTATTTCTCTTTAAAAAGTAATTTATTATCATATTCTGGGTTTACTGTGTAGATTATAACGGTGGGAATCAGAGAGATAAAACATGAGGATGGGTTTAATGGGAAGCGAAAGAAGGTCGGATAAGATGAAATGGGAAGCATGTTATTAATAAGATGAAACTGAACATGGATTTGTGTTTAATGTAAGAAAACGAGTGATAAAAAAGAAGAGCGCATATGGAACCAAAGGCTGTGATGTGTTTCTTTGCGTAATTGTTGACAATTTTTTCTTTCTCCCTTTCTCTTTTTTATGTTTGTTCAGTTGGAGAAAACATGAATGAATTTCTATCATCATGGTTGCTTGAGTTCTGACTCCAATTTTATTTATTACTTTTGGTTAAGGTGGAGATCAGTCTGAGACTGAAAAGAACAGTCAAGGGAATATGTAAACTCTGAAATACATTGGAGGAGCAAGGAAGGGAGAAAAGGAAGAACTTCCTAACTGAATTTGACTATGTGATGTAGTAAAAGCTAGAAACGGTTAATGTCCTTTCTCATTCTCTAAGCAAGAAGGCTAAATTAGCTACGGTGAGCCAGCTAGATCAAGGAAGGAATGGGCCAGGACTCTATGGCCCAGAAGATGCACTAGGGCTTGGACTTTGACGGTAGTATTAAACTTGGGAGAGATTTACTAATCGATGTTGTTATTTGACGCTGAGATTTTTGTTCTTCTGTTAGGCTGAGGAAATTGGGATAATTCGAATTTTGAATGAGAAAGAGGAATTTGGTGCTCGGCTCCATTTTCTCAATTTTCATGTTCCAAGATTTTACTTTTCAAGGATGGTTGACTATTCAACCATTTCTCCAGTCGATTTCTTATTTTGTGGATTCCAAATCTCAATTCTATACTAAGTTGAATTGCATTTGGTGTGCACTTTAAATGCCCCTATAATGCTACCCATAGAAATATCCCCCGAAAAGTAAAATTCACCTTAAATTTCTTTGCATTTCCATTTGAATTTCATTTGACTTTAATGATTTTTTTCTCTATGTCAATAATTAATTGTCCTAGCAACAACATTACCTCCCTATCTTAGAAAAGGTCATGTGTTCAAACCCAACATTGACATATTTGTATGCCTATACAGGTGTGTGTGTCTCCCTTTTTTATAAAGAAGAATTAAATTACAAGTAAAATTTTAAGGGAAAAAGTTTTCTATAAATTTTCTTTGTTTTAATTTGATTCCCCCTTCCGGTGATTGTCCCTACTAGTTGACTTTGAACATAATTTCAACCGAGGCAGGGCAGAATCTAGTCAACAATAGATTAGGTCATGTTGAGTTAGAAAAGGGTGATGGGGTAGCCACCGGATCATGTTGAAACTCGTTCCATCTAGCCCATGTTTACCTCAAATTTTATTTGGAGTGTCTTTAGTTTGAATACTTAATTTTAAACTCTTTTAAGTTGTGTTTGGATGGGTGGATTTAAATTGATAATTTAGATTTAATCTCATATTTGAAATATCACATTTGAAATTCATAGATTCTAAATTCTTTATTTAGATGATATAAAAAATTTTAAATTATAATATTAAAATCTTTTGTTTGAATCTAAAATAAAATTTTAAATTTTAAATTATATATTTAAATTTAAAAGAAACATAAAAGATTGGTCAAATTCAACGATTTGAATGGTCAACTTTCAACAAGATTAAACAAATAAAGTTGATTGGGATTGTGGCACTAGGGATGATCGGGACGAGACCTCCGACTTCTATCGGGACCAGACCATTGTGACGATGGGGACGGGATGGCCAACTTCTAAAATCACTAGACCAATAGTGACGATAGGGGCCAGACGATCAACTTCCATAGAGACCAGATAGACTACGACAAACGGGGAGGGGAAGGCTGAATTCCTCCCGCACTGGTCGGGATAGACAGCAATGGTAACCAACTAAAGGTGGCAGCGACGAATGGCATCCTCTGGATCTCACTCAATAGAAATCGGTCATCCGGTCCCTGTCATCACCGTCGGTCCAATTCTGGTGGAAGTCAGTCATCTGGTCCCCGTCATCACTATCTGTCTAGCCCCGGTGGATGTCGATCCTCCAGTACTAGCTATAATGTCCTTTACCGACATTACTATACACACCACTACAATTTTATTAATCTTAATCAAATTAAAATCATTTACTTAGAAAACTTTAGAAACAGTGGGATCTCAATAAAAGATTTTCAGAAATCATTTTATAAATCACTCAGATTATAAAACCCTATATACAAACACATACACATCAGAAGCACTTAGTCTTGGTGCATTAAAGATCAAGGAAACATATGCAAACCTAAAAAAAACAAGGTGAAATTTTTCATCGTGTGCCATGACTTGTGCCACATGCACTGCGGTATGAGACACAAAGACCACAGTAGCTCGCTTTGTGCCATGTACTGCGGCATGCAGATACATACGCCGTAGTGCACACTCCTAAATTTGCTATCAAATGGCAGTTTTTGATATAGAATTTAGATGTGCATCATTTCCACATACAATATCCAATTGGGATGGTTTAAGCGCCTACACGTAGCTTGTTTTGGAATCTAATTAATGACACTGGTTTTATCTCAATCCAATATTTTTATCAAAAATTGGACACCCAAGTGTATTTTGACCGTTTTCTGCTAAAATTTTGTCACTAAGTGTCTCAATTCAAAACCAAATGTCATTAGCCACTTTTTGGACTTTGACCACGTCTAAATAGACAATACACACCTGATTGACAATACACATGCACAATATATCACACATACATACTTTTGCTCTGTAAACCACTCATTTCACACTTTGAGCCAAAATCACAATTTCATTTCTTTAGTCCCATATAAGGCCAAATCATTATCTATCCACTTCAAGCATCACATATTCACACACATATACATTTTTCCACTAGCCTATTCAACATTTCATCATTTACACATAATACAAGGGCTAGGGAGCTTAAGCTCATCAAACATACCACAATCACATCTTTATGTACATGTATAAATCCTAAGGCAACTTGTATATATTCAAGACTAATAACAACAGCTTAGATAGAAATCATGTTTCATACTCTTTTATACTTTAGCATGATCATTTATCCATCAATTCCTCTAAAACTCCCTGACATGAAACTATAGGCTCTTTTGGATCAATCACTTGTTGACTCAAGTACACTTTTGATGGTAGAAACACTAGGCTAAAGGTAATCTAACTCAGCTACAGACTATGATTTTCTCTCTTTATATACTTGTGATAGAGGCGTCATTGACTCTTAACTATACCCTAACGAGCAATAAAGAGTTGCCAGACTGCCCAGATGTCCCATGGTAACAGTCTTCTAATATGCTGTATTAGATTACCCATGGTAATAGCCTGTATAATGCTGCACCGAATGCCCCATAGTTCCAGCCCGACCATATGGATTTTTTTTTCACTCACATATCTCCACACACACATCTCCACATATGCTGGGTGAACTCCCACCTCTTATGATTATGCTTTTTCCATAATTTTCACTATTTTTCTTCACATTTCCACATCGCACACTTTTATACATAGTATATACGTGTCAATCAAAATCAATAGCCTTTCACAAGTTGATTTACATGCTAAAATCATTTACAATGTTAAATCATACATAAAACTCATAAAACAATAACTTTCTCATTTATATTTACTTCTACACAGTTATAATAGTTAATAAACATAACAAATTATATAGTTACCTCAACCCTTCTATTTACAAAAAAGGATTACCTGTGTTCCAACAACCTTATTCAAGCTCCTTTTTCATAATTCATGTCCCACACACTAGAATTTACATAAAATTAGCAACCCAAAGTTAATTTTATTATTAACAAAAGTACCAATTATCACACTTAAGCGTCTAATCACTTTCATTTTCACAATTCACACTCAATTACGTACATTACCACTGATTACCCTTATTTCAAGCTTTAACATTTTCTAGCCAATTTTTGTCACTATGCTCTCTCTAGATTAGGGCAATTCTTACCTACAGTTTTAATGCTTTGTCGTTTTGACCCAAACCAGTCATAAAGTATTAGTTTAGCTCGGAGAACTCTTTTATTACTATAGGGTAAGAAATCAACTTCTTAAAACTCCCAAATTCAATTTCTCACTTGTTAAAACTAAGAGAAAATAGGGTAAAATCAAAGATTAAGGCAGTACATGACTTACTTGAAAAGTAACAAGTCAGAAACACCATCCTTACTCTTAATTTAGCTTGCCTTAACATATGCCCCACTCTTCTCCATGCCTGAACCCTTCTCCTAAGTTTCTCCCTTATGTTTCCATGAGTAGACACATCCCTATTAATTTGATTTTTGTACCATATGCCGCGATGCATGGCACAGTGAGGGAAATCCTCACTATACTCACACGCTCTGCTTCAGGACTCTACTCTTCTACTCATATCTATTCATATAACATCCCAATAGGTCAATATAATACTTCATTATCAAGAATCCTAATCTTATATTAAATCACTAATTCATCTATTAATCAGTCATTAATGCAAGATTAGAAATTCGGGAATGTTACACCGGTCATTACCGTTGATACTATCCTAGTGGAAATTGATTGTCTAGTCCCCGTCATCACCGTCAATCCAATCCCAGTAGAAGTCAACCATCCAATCTTGGTCATCGCCATCTATCCGATCCTGATAGAAGTCAACCATCGGGTCCTCATTGTCACCATCTATCCGGTCCTAATGGAAGTTGGCCATCTAATCCTTGTCGTCATCGTCTGTTCGATCCTGATGGAAGTCAGTCATCCAATCCTCATTCTCACTATTGATCTGATCCCAGTGAAAGTTTGCTATCCCATTCCAGTCATTGGCGGTAGGTTGTTTCCATCGCCTTTGGTGGTTCGGTTTAATTGCCATTGGCAGATCAATTAAGCCTTCATACATTTGGGTCAAATTATTAAAGAGCTTGAGTTAGAATTTGAGATAATATAGGTTTAGAAAGGATTTCAAATTACAAAGAGATTAAGGGAGAACTTGGATTTGGAATTGAGTTAAATCCAAACCCATGCATTTTTAATTATCCAAACAATGGATTTAACTTAAATCTAAATCCAAATCTAAATCTATGTGTATCCAAACATAGCATTATATTAAAAACTCATTATTTAAAAATTGGCAATTTAAAATAACAAATTTAATTTTCCTTTAGCAAATCTATTTCATATTGTAACAAAACAAGATTGAATTTGTAAAATATATTGTAACAAGTTTAATTTAATAAATTGACAAGAGGTACTAAGATGACCAATTAAATTAGGGTTTTAACAAGTTCACTTTATGTTGTAACTATTAATCAACAAGATTGAATATGAAAAAGACATTGCTAACAAGTTCCCTTAATGACTTAATAAGAAAGCATTAACGAAATGAAAAGCTAACTCAGATTTGGTTTGGAAACTTGGTTTAGTTTATATATAACATTTTGCATTATATAACCAAGAAGCATTATTGGCTCAGATGTTATATAAATTGCTTTTGGTAAAATAAAAGGTCATGAATTAAAACCCCTTTGATCATCTCAAAGTATTAATTTTACTGGCTGGCTGATGGGAACTACTGGTGGTGATCCAGCCGCTAAACTTTGGTCCTATGGTGTAATCCATAATCCTTTGGTCCTAATTTTAAATTAATTAACTACTATGGTCCTTTACTAAAATTCTATACTGATCCAACTACGGTCCATTCAACATTAGCATAACCTTACGATTTGGTTGAGACACAAGACAATTTCTAGATCACTCTTTCAGCCAAAAAGAAAATCTAAGCATACAGAGTATTGGAAGAAATATTATTAGATTCAAGAAACTTCAAAACTAATGGAATAATCGTTTCATTATAGGTAGCTAAATCCTAGTGAAGTTTAACAATCATTTCCCATTATATGTAATACTAAGTATTATTATCTCCCTATTATGTTGGTGATGCTGACATAGTTAGTAGAGTGCAAAGTCTGTGCTTCAATTGTGGACTCTGAAGTAAATCCCGTTTCATTTAGCACATATGAAGGTTGCCTTGGAGGAGGAATATTGACAATCTCATTGCTAAGCATGGACACAACATTGTCCATAGTTGGTCGCTCTTTTGCTAGTTCTTGCACACAAAGAAGTCCTTGAGTATGCAACGCAACATATCATCACAAGAACCTTGATTGTGTATATCTGAATCTATAAAGGACATAAGGTTATGTTCATTCTTTAGCTTCCAGACCTGAAAATATATAAAAATTCATGCATGAAAGGGTAGAGTTCATACTAACAAGAAGAAGCAGTAAAGACACTTACATGTCCTAATAGGGTGTGAGATCCCTCCATGTTATGAAAGCTTGAGTTGCCCTTTCCACTAACAATCTCTAGCACTAGAACTCCAAAACTGAAAACATCTGATTTCTCAGAAAATTTTCCTTGCATTACATATTCAGGAGACATATAGCCACTACATTAAAAAGTTACCAAGTTAGCTTGCATTGCTTGGCATGATGATTTAATGATTAAGAGAATAAGACATGCTTACAATGTCCCCACCACTCTTCTAGTTCTAGCTTGATCTTCATTGCTTCTAAATATTCTAGCCATTCCAAAATCTGATATTTTTGGATTTAGCTTTTCATCCAACAAGATATTACTGACTTTTAAATCTCTACGTATGATTTTTATTCTAGAATCTCTATGGAGATAAAGCAAGCCCCTAGAGATCCCTTCAATAATTTTAAAACGTTTTTGCCAATCTAGCTCTTTCTTTTTGATTGGATCTGCAGCCAAAGAAACAGATCAGTTAATATAGAGTAATTGCATTGTTAAGAGAATCAGTTTGCTTAAATTAGCTAGTCATTGAATAATGAGAAATGTAAAGAATTTTTTTTTTTCGTAAATCATAGCATAGCTGAAAAAACAAGATGAATTGTCGTAAAAATGACAATGGACATACCAAATAGAATTGTATCCAAACTCTTGTTTTGCATGTATTCATAGATTAACATTTTTTCATGTTGCTCAATGCAACAGCCTAAAGTCTTCCTAGATTGCGGTGTTGAATTTTTGAAATCACTGCAACCTCATTCATGAACTCTTCTTGCCCTCGTCTTGATTCTTTTGAAAGTCTTTTAATTGCGATTAGTTGGCCATCTTTCAGTTGCCCCTGTAAAAGATGGCGTAAAACAAAAAGTTAGCAATTGAAATAACTCGTTTCTACATGAAAAAAGTTATCCACTTCACAAGACAAAAAATTACCTTGTACACTGAACCAAAACCACCATGTCCAAGCATGTTTGCTGAGTGGAAGTTGTTTGTTGCAATTTCAAGTTCTTCAAAGTCAAAATGTGAAACCTCATTGTCCATTTTGATTTCTTGATGTTGACTAATCATTTTTTGAGATTGACGACGTAAATATATCCCACCTACACTTTCTTTGGTTCAAAAGCATCTTATTTCCAGCACATATAATACTCATCATGGTAAAGTTACGGGAATTTAATCTAATTTTCACATTAAGAAATGAGTTATTACAGTACCTGCAAATTTAGCTGTCAATTTCCATAGGAGATATGCAAATGCAGTTAAAGTAATAATTCCTACGGTCACTGTAATTGCAATTATTCTTCTTTTGTGTGTATGTGTTTCTGCATTTCATAGCAACATGTCAAGCAGCTTAGGTGAAAACTTTCCTAATATGAAGAAACATTATATTTCAAAGATAAAGAAAGGTACCAAGTTCTGATAAAGGCACACGAATGTAAAGATCAACGCCTCCAGTTGAGAATCTTTGCAGGTCAATGAAGTCCCCGCTCCATTGCATGCATCCAATACCATTTGAGTCATATGCATACGCCACACAAGAGCAATTGTTCAAGCACTCTGTCCTACAACTATCTTCTGTAGCAGTTGTTGACCTCACCAAAAAGTCAGGCACTTTCATCTTGTCAATTTTCAAAAACCCATCTTTTCATCACATTGCAACGGCTTCTTTCTCACACATCCACTAGTCCAACTTTGCCTGTTCCATTCCTCTACTTTCTTTGGCTCATAACCATGCAAACAGCTACAAATTGCTGAACTTTGTGAATTGCAGCTTCCAAATGCCCCACATGTGCCATACAAATCACAGTAGGTGCCATTCAACACCTTTCTCAAAACCTCCCTTTTGTTATACCACAATGCCACCCAAAGTTGGCCTTGTGGATTCAAGCCAACAACTGCAAAGGCAGCATCACTTCCAAAATCATAGTTTAGAAAAACAGTTCCATCATCTTCATTTCCAACTCTCCATCCATATAGATAATCATTTGACATATTTGGCCATCCTATAAAAGTCCTCCCATTCCATGGACCAGTTCGAGCATATGGATGAGTTCCATTAAACCAGAAAAAGACCTCAGGAGCATTTGGCCTTTCAAGAGAAGCAGAGTAGTATCCGATCGATGGATCAGAATCGCTTTTCCATGATGTAAGTTTCACCTTTTTCCCGTTTATTTTATTGATACTGAGCTTGATCCCTAGCACTAGAAGATTAGAAGGATCTTGGAACTCTCCCACATGGTCTCTTGTGTTGTCATCAAAGAGGACTAGATTCCCTCTGTTGGAAAGTTTCACTGTTGAATTGATCGGAATATGTGAGACATTTGTGGACCAAATACTCTTATTTCGTTTGTCCAATATCACAAGATTCCCATTCTTGGTGACTGTGACACTACCAAAACCATCAACCAGTGGCTGGTTTTTGTTAGCCACCCATATGACGTTAGATTCAGAAAGATACCAGATTCCTACATACCGGTTTGTGGAATTTTGTGGGCTGAAGAATCCAAGCTTGAAGTCACTGCTGTTTGAGCTTATTGTTTCATTGTCTCTGATGAATTGATTTGATGTGATGGTGTCCATTGTAGAGCTCAAACCCAATGGGAAACTGGACAGCACAAGTAAAAGATTCAACAAGATGAGACTTTTGATTGTGATTTCCATACCTCTCGTGAAATGGATGAGATAACTTTCTTTTTTTCCCCCTTGAACGGATGAGATAACTTTTATCTTTTGGCATGGAATTGAAGTCTTTGATCCGTCGCTTTTTTGTGGACTCAACGTTATCTTGCTCAACGCTACCCATTGAATGTAATATCAAGTACTCGCTTTTAGTGCCAGAGATTGACTAATTAGTATAGAGTCAAGGCAAATAGTGGAAGGCTGAATTACTTGAATAATTCCACATCATAATAAAGTAGTCCCAACCACTTACTTAATGACAGTTGAAAGCAACACGCACGCGCACACAAACATTTTGTCTAGGATCTTAGTCAAATTAGGCCGCTATACAAATTCATGTTACCTTGGAGTAAGATCATTCACGTTCTCAAATCCAGGATCAATTTATATTGCACATAATAAGAGGTATCATTGTGTTCATTGTTCATTTATGATGTTTGATGTAATAAATATTTTATACCATTGTCATTGCATTTTGTAAATTTCTTGCAATTACTAAATACTCTATCCATTAAGTATTACAATGCATTTTTAATCTAATCACATCTTCAATGAGTCAGTTAATTATCTTTGAATTTATCACACTATTTCAATATTTATCTTTATTTAATAGGATATTTTAATTAAAAAATCTTATTAATTACACTCTCTAATTAGTGGTATTTTTGAAAAATTTAATTGCATCTTAAAAGATATAAAAATTTCTTATATTTTTTAATATAATATTGAACAGAAAGAGTAGATTATGTATAGTTGAATGAATAAATCATTTTAAATATTTATTATGTTTTTATTTGATTTTCTCGTATTTGCTATGATCAAAATTTAAAATTGAAATAAATAAATATAAAAAGTAATAAAACGAATCAATTATTTGGTAAGAATTATATACAAGTGAGAAGTTGAAATACTATAGAAGTGGTTAAGTCGAAATTAGAAAATACCCGGGTAACAATACTATAGTGAAAAAATAAGAAAAAAAATTAATCCATTAGTCCCTATATTTTCCTTTAATTTTGAATTAGATTCACGTTTTGCCAAAAAGAATTAGATTCATGTAGGTTTTTTTTTTTTTAAGGATTAAAGATCTAATTTACTCCAAAACTATTTCCCGGAACATTATTGAGCACCCTGTAGTGAAGGGTGGGACAATATCCCCCTAACATAATTTTTTAAGGAGTAATATTGTCTCTCTATTAAATATCGATTAATTTGACCATTAGTTGAATCCAAAAAGTATTGAGAATGGCCTAAAAAATTATAGAATGTGCTTAAAAAATTACAAAAAAGGACCTTTAAAAAGAATTAATATTGATTGAATCTTTTAAATTATAAATAAATTTCAATAAGTTAATATTATTTCTTACTCATATAAATGACTAAAATATCATTTAACCAACTTTTTTGATGACTGGCTATTAGGTGATTATTATGTCATCTTTGCTAGCAATAACATGGACAAGTAATGAAACATATTAAATTTTTTTAAAAGCAACATCTTATTAAAATATCACCACTTTAATGTTTGATAATTTAAATATCATTATTGTTATAAATAAAACATATAGACGATATAAATGAGAAGAAAAAACAAATGAGGATGACTTTTTGTATTCTCTTTTATACTTACAACACAAGTGATATGACATATACTCCTTCCAATCTTTATTGTAGGATACTTTTAACTGTTTTATGCCTTTTAAAAAAAGTTAATTTTTCTTGATATCATAAAAAAAAGATATATTTTTATTTTACCATTGACTTTAAATCATAATACAACTACACTAAATACATTTACACTAATCAATAAAAAGTAAAATTGAAAAAAAAATGGTTTAATTATTATAAGGTGTCCAACATTATGGACCAAAAATTATTTTTAGAAGGTTTCCTACAAATATAACTAGAGGGAGTATATACGCAAATACTTACAACTCAAAGGTCTGAATAATTGATTGTTAAATGATATATCATAAAGAAGATATCAATTTTAAGTGAAAGGTGAAGCTCAAGAATTTCATGAGTTACAACTTTTGAGTAATGTGAATTATATGGGGAGATGAACATTCATATAATTATGACATAGGGATATGGACATCCATACATAATGTTTATATATATAATACTTCCCCCTAAACGTCCATTATGTAAGAATATGTCTCACTCAATATTTCATCTAGGAAAAACCTTGTGGGACAAAACCTAGCAGAAGGGAAAAGTATATCATTCATTTGTATACTATCCAATGTTGCTTCATTAGAAACCATACCAAAAAACCCCAATGAGACAAAATCTTGGTTAAGGAAAAAAGGGTATAGCATGTATTTACCCCTCTTGATGACAACATCACTTTTGCTATGATTATGATGTTTATCTACATGGCTGTGGATGTTTATTAAGAGGATATCAAGTCTTAAGTATGAGTTATATAGTTTGCTATTATGATCCCCTGAATCTCACCCCTTCTAACTAACTTTTCAGGTATCAATGTGACTAATAAAGGAAATATTAAGATATAAGGTGGGTGGCTTGTAAGCAAATAGAAGTTTACTATCGACTAAAATTGTGTATATAATAGGGGGACACTTAGTCCATATCAAAGATCATTGCATGAGTCTTATTATCCATTACACTACCTTGTAACAGGCTCTGCTTAGTCATGCTCAAGAATGGAAAGGTATTAATGCTTCTTAAGGGATTAAATTCAATTAACTCACTTTAAAACAAGTTCCTATAGTATGACATTGCCAAAAACTTCATCTCCTCTTAGTCTAAAATCCACTCCCCTAAATCATTTTTAATTGCCTCCACTTTGTTTTGTTGACTTTGGACCATAGTAAGAGTATGTAAGAATTTGTTGTTTTTATCGATCCACTTAAGCCAATTACATCAAGACTTCTGATACCACATGAGTTCTTAAGCAAAAACCTTTATGTTTTCTTTCTAGAGTTTATTTTTCATTTGAGCCACGTAGGTGCTATCCCTTCACATTCTCGCTTTATCCAAACCATCAGTTTGCTTAATTAAGTTCCTTCTCTTAGCCACTAAATTGCCAACACAATTTTTATTCCAAATAGAACTATTTGCTTCAATTTTTTTTAATATTTTCAACCTAATTCCCAAAACTCCAAGCCTCTTAATCACAATATCTATTAACCCAACCTCAAGTATGCTTGACAACAAAAGGGGTTGAAATCTCAGAACATTGGCTTAATCACCATATCTTACAAAGGTGGTGGGTTTCAGTATAAGGAAAGGACGTGCTCCATTCTACATTAGTAAAGGCCCATTCAATTCTTTTTCTTTTTCATCTGATTCCATTTTCAATTAAACAATCACAAAATCAACTTCAATCAGTTTAGCCATCAGAATACAATTGCAGAATTATTTAATGGAGGCACAATTATGCACTACACTACCCAACTTATCATCAACAGACAAGAAAGCATTAAAATCCCCAATGACCATCCATGGCTCACAAATACTATTGCCAAGATTCACCAAGTCCTCCCACAAATGTTTCCTCAATAGATAACTTGGTCATAAACACAAGTTAGCCAGAAACATCTATTATGAACAACTGCAGGAACAAAGACATGAATGAATTGAGTAGAAGAAGAAACATACCGAATAGGAGCCTCCTCTTCATTTCAAAGAATCCATATACTCCTAACATATCTTGTAGCTCAAGTATGTTCCAATTACTACATCGCGAGCAAGGACGTGTTAATAGAGAAGGCAATTGCTCCCATTAAACAGGTAAAAATTTTATTTAAGGTTTAGTTAAAATTACAGTTGCCCCATTTAAAATTACAACTTCTCCCATAAAAAATTAATTGCCCCACACTTTCTTTAAAACTACTAGAAATACATATTTAAAAATATTATTTACTCTTATATTCATTATAAAAATAAATTTATGATACATTTTTCCAAAAAAAATAAATTTATGACACAAATGCCATTAATATGTATTTGACTAAAGTGTACTATTTTTATTTAATTTTATATAAAGTTTTAATTTGACCTTTTAATTTTATACAATATTTTTTAGTCCTCTAATATTTAACACCATTACATTCAAATGATTATTTTTTATACCAATCATTATCATTTTAAAAAAATTAAAATTGATCATTTAACATTTAAAAATATTTTGTTAATATTTAAAAGTTTAATATAAAAATTTATTACTGATAAAATTAATAATGTTAGAGTTAAAAAGACTAAAAAAGATATTTTATAAAATTAAATGATCAAATGAAACCTTGTATAAAATTAAAAGACCAAATATGTACTTTAACCTATGTATTTTTTTAAAATTCTCATATAATTTATTTATATGTTAATTTAATTAATATTTAGAATTATATTTTTTTCAAAAAGTGTTAATATTTATATTTATATAAATTTTGTCCCATCTAATAAACTTTCCTTGGTCTGTTACTGACCCCAAGGATCTTATAACCTTGCCTACTTCCGTCCACACTGGTTTCCATTAGTACAAGCAAGTTCAATTTGTTCAAACTCGGAACAGATAAAGCATTAATATTCTCCCCTGCAATCCCAGGCAATTAAATCCATAAAAAGCACAATAGCAGGGGCGAGGCACTACCTTTACGTTTGGGTGGCAGCATAACCACTTCATCTTCCATCTCCACGAACTCCTCTACTCGGCCATCTTCTTGCGTTTCAAACCAAAGGTCGACTACCTCATTGGTATCTCCAGTAAAATTCCCGACATTTGTCCCTGAAGAGACATTGAAGCCGATAGTCTCTCCAGAAGGGTCAGGAGGCTTTTTTTTTTTTTTTTTGGTGACTGCTAAACCTTTTCTGACTCATTATTTTTTATTTTTAAATAAAAAGGAAGATAAACTTGAGATAGATTACAAAGACAGATTAATGTCAGCCATAGGTGCACATGATGGAATCAAAATAGTTCCATTTCCAGTGACGAGAGCATTCTTCGCTACATAGTCAGCACATCTGAGTAGATCCCTTGGTGTCTGCTGAACCAAGCATATGTATGTATGTAATAAAAGAATAACTAGTATATGCCTATAGATAACAAGTATCTCTTCCTATGAATGTCAAGTGTCTCTTATATTATTTCATCATGTCACT